TTCTTAAAGCCTTTCTCTTAAAATACGTCATCTATTATTTCTAAACCATGCATCCATAGTTTTGGAGAAAACGTTTTTAATACATTTTTTTGCATATTAAAAAAATATTTTAAAAATGCGATCGTGTCGCAGATTGTAATAAGCTTTCAAATTTATGATCTGTAAAAATAGATATTTGTTAAATATTTTAAAATTATCACATTTTGTATTTAAAATTGGAAAAAAGAAAATTCTTGTAAAAATTTTTCATCGGAAAAATATTTTGGCTTCAGACAACAGTGTCGTTAATATATATTATTCATAAAAGCCATTAAAAGCTTTTTTTAATTAAATAATGTCTTAGTTTTATTGGGTCTTGTATTTTACAATTCTGAGCTGAATTTTAGGTAATTTTACTAAAAAAAAATTGATTATCTATATTCTTTTGCTTTTAACTAATATAATCACAAAATTACACACAAATCGAATTTTCATAAAATTAAGAGGGGGGCATGTAAAATTATATATATATTTACCAAACATTTACAAATGACTGAAATTATTTTAAAAATAAGTTCTGAAAGTTTCACAAAATCTGAAAAATATTTGATTTTTGCAAGAGAAATTGAAATTAATGTGATTTTTCAATTGAAAAAAGGCGTTAAAAAAACTAATGGTAAATATTTCGTGACCGCTGATGTAAAAAATAAATAAATAAAATAAAATTTTGAACATGCTAGCAAGGATTAAAATAATTAAAAATTACTTTCGTCTTTCCTCTTAATCAATATTTTGACGATAAAACTTTTTTTTAAGTTTGAGGTCTTTTTCTTCACGCTGTTTTTTTTTTTCCCGACGAATTATTGAAGATATTTTTTTTTTTATCCATTAGGTAAGATTGGATTTACATTTATTACATAATTTATATAAGTGTTCGTTGACACGTCAGCATTTGGCTAGAATTTGAATCCTTTTAGTTTTATTTATCAAGATTTTTAAAAACTGACTTTTTTTTTTTTTTTCGAATTTTCCTTCTAAAAAACATAATTTGTAGTTCCTATCAATTTTATTTTCGAATACATTCTATAATTACATGTACTATTACTAATGTTAATTATTTCTTATTTTTATGTAACTATCACTTACTTATTACAAGGTGGATTAAACTAAATTATATATAGCTTCGTCTCGCTTCATAAAAAAAATGATTAGGCGAACGCGTTTTGTCTAATACAAGGGAAACTACTCAGTATTACAAATGGATTATTTCCCTTGAAAGCAATCGTTAAATTTTCTCAAGTTTAATGAAACTGGATGAAAAGAACCATCATTTTTGTTGGTCAAATTTCAAATTCTTGATTTAAAATAACATACTTTCATTCCTTCTGCAACTGGTAGGTTATATTTTCTTTTTGTTTACACGTATCAGCTTATTGCACTTTAAAGTTGAATTTTTTGGGAGGCAAGAGAAATTGCTAACTGATTTGTATGATTGGCCAATTGCTGTTTCTTCTATTCTTACCATTATTTGATTTATTAAAAATAACCAGAATGTTGCAAAGCTCTCATTTTCTATTCTTTGCTTTTCACAATATATAGGCAATGAAAGGATAATCTTGTTCTGCATAAAACAAGCAAGTAAGTAAAGAGCTGAATCAATTGTTTTAAAATGGGGAAATGTCAGATGGTATTGCAATTTTGTTTCCTAGTTGATTTCATCCAAAAAAGCTTATCAATGGCTTTCGTTAACTACTTAAGTCACAAAGACCCAATGATTCCAAACAAGTGACAAAAAGGCTGATTTACACAATGAAATTACAAGACCATGAAGAAGGTAGTGAAAAAAGTCACTTAACAAATTAGAATAACTCATGACAGAACTTATTTTTAATGAGAAATAAAAACAGAAAATGGCAATCATGTAATTTATTTATTTATTTACAGGATTTTTTGTTTTAATTTATTTTAGATAACCATAGCTTAAATTTGTACACTCACACACATGCCATCACACTCTGATGTAGTAAGACTCTGTAAATATTTATACCATTGGGTAATGCAGATATTACAAGTACAAAAATGTACTGACAAGTGGGCTTGTGGGGGTAGGGTTGTGAAAACCTTGGGCCAAAACCTAAGTGAACCATGTTTGAATCAACATGATTAAAATCTGACCAAATGAGCTAAGGGCCTCCACCTTCAGAGAAAAAGTTTGTGTGTGTGTGTGTTTATATAAATGTATATACACACATACCTTTATGTATATAAAATGGAACTCCAGCCAAACGACATTAACACACACGCACACACACGCAAATATATTAAATAAAAAAAATTAATTACAAAAGGAAAACTAGAAGTGAGATTAGAAACTTCCAGCAAGATAAAAAAAAAAAACAAAAAAAATCAAACCTGAATCTTGTTGGCCAAAAAGAGTCTTCCAGTGAAAAGTAGACTAGGTTGTTTGTACATATGAAATGTGATTGTGCTGTAGATAAGAATTAAGTGATATTTTTTTTTTTAACTCTGCTTTATCTTGTAAATATTCCTTTTGAAAACTTTGATAAAAATAAAAAAAAAAAAATAGAAAACACAAAAATTAGGACTTCCGAGTCATTTCTCTTTTCTCGGACCTAGAAAAGATTAAGGTTTTCAAATACTTTAGAAAAGGTGTATTTGCAATATAAAGCATGGTAAAAAAAAAAAAAAATTGGTCAAACAGTATTAATAGCCATCTACATAAACACACAGACTGATACAAAAAAAAAAAAAAAAAAAATAGGTTTGCATTTTGCTAGCTGTGTTACGTGACCATTTTGTTAAAATAAAAAGAAAATTTAGTCTAGCTCAACTGACTTCAGATAAGAGACTGTCTTGTATCTCTTGGAGTGAGATATCTGAAACCCCAACCCAAGGGTAATTTAGGGACAGCACTACAGACTTTGGCTTGTAAAAACTAGATTCTGTTTTTCTCTGCACTGTGAGACTATATGGTAGAAATGCTACACCAGTATATTGGATTTAGCATACAAGCACCTTGACAGGTAACTGACAGTGGGGAGGGGGAAATTAAAGCAAAAAAAAAAAATTAACTAACAACTTTCAAATCAAGTTATCTCATCTGAGTTCAACAATTAACAGGAATCAAAATTGCATGATTTTTTTTTTTTTTGTATATTGCTTTTTCTTTGCAAAGAGAAGAATTGTTTTCATTATCTTTATAGGTTGGGGATGTGAAGTCAACTGTGGCCATTGTGCTAGTGATAGAAATGTCCTCAACTGAGATATGAGCATCTCTTCTGTGTGTGGGTGTTTAAATAAAATTTTTAATTTTGCCATAACAGGAAATTTCAGAGATTAGTAATCTAATGGTGCAAGTTATTAACAATGTGTGAATGACAACAGAAATAATATTTAAGCTAAAATTAATTTCTTAATACATTTCCAAAATTTGTTGTGTATACACCCAACCACTCTTGATTATAATACTTAATTCTTATTGTGCATATTATACACACACACACACCGCTTGAAAAATCATTTAAGCTTGTACCTGAGAGTCACCATGCAGTGTTGATTACATTTCCACACCAATATATAAAATCCTAGATTGCAATTCTTTAAAAAAAAAAAAACTTCACTACCATACCTAACGACTTGGGTTATCATCGACTGTTTGTGCATGCAGCAGTTACAGATGGGTGGGGCACAGATAGAGGGAGAGGAAAGCTGTAAATATATTTTGGCCATATGAAAACTTTCTTGGTTTGTTAACTGTTGAAGGCAGACGGAAAATAACTTAAAAAAAAAAAAAAAGTAGCTAGAGTTGTTCCCCTTGTTCTTGCATTTCTTAACCTTTTCATTGGACAAAATGCATTTAAAAAAAAAAAAAATCTTACATTTTTTTTTTTTTTTTTTAATGAATAACTTGTTTAAAAAAAATATTCTACATCAATAATTATTTTTAATAAAATTTAAAAAAACATTTTCATTTCATCCTGAAGAATTTTAACTCAATAAAATTGCTTGAGATTTTATTAACTACTTTTACAGACGTATACCAATGCCTATTGTTAGATTATTTCCCCAATGACACAATTCTATTTGTTATAATCATTCATATTCTAACAATAAGACATCCATTTTGACCTCAGGATAAAAAAAAATTAGCTGCTCCCATATTCCCTAAATGTTTCAAACAGAAAAACTTTTTCTATAATTCCCAACATTAATGTGGCTCCCTCATAAAATATTTCTTTTACCCACAAAGAAAATAAAATTTCACTTTAATAAAGTGAATTTGTATTATCAGCAGAAATTTAGTTTTCTTTTTGCCAGTAAAGGCAGATTTGGATTTACTTTCTGAAACTCTTAAAAACAAATGTTTTCAAGCTTAATAAAATGAATGGGCAAAAATATGAGCTCAGTTAAAAAAAAAAAAATAAATAAAGGAAGACTCTATATATTCTCCCCAAGAACCTTCTTTCCTGATGTTTCTTTGAACTTCAACACTTACACAACTTTCTTTCATCTTTCTTGCCATCTGTATCAGGTTGTTTTCTTTTCCTTTTTTAATTTTGCATCTTAGAATAAAAAAAAAAAAAATCCTGATCATTGTATTTAGTTTCTGTATCATTCTCCCCAGCACACCCATAAATATGATAGGGGAATTGTCTATGCCTCAAAATAAGACTCAAGAAGAAACCGTCCCAACAATAACACTTTCAAATTCATATTGTCCCAATTATTGTATAGAATGTTCTGAAAATGAATTTGCCAAAAAGATAGAAATATATTTATTCAGCATTCATTTAGCCAAACTGATTTAAGGATACCCTGTAGAGAAGGAAGGGTGGGGGCATATCTGCACACATGCACACACTTATATCCACCAGCATACAAAAATCCTTACTGATGAAAATTTAAAAAAAAATTTTCTGAAGCCAAGATTTCAGATTTTTCTGTCCATACGAATAAGTGTATGTATGTATAATTGATTTTGTATTTTTATTTTTCTTCTTTTAGCAGGCACTACTCTTGTAATCTCCAAAGTCAGTGCCAACTTTGGCAGGGGGTTGGGCTGTCAGTCCATTTCGCAATGGGTTTGTATGGCAGCGTTCTTTAAGTTGGTTCAGGGCACACATCAGTTTACTGTTGGTCGAGTCAAGGGTCTGGATTTGACGTTCCTGAGCCTCTATAACCATTTGCTTTTGAGAGACAAGACGCTCAATTTCACGTTGTTCTTTGCGGAGTTCATCTTCAAAACCAATTAAGCTGCAAATAAAGAAAATTTTCAATATATAAAAATAATTCAATTTTTGGTTAGAAAAAGTTGCTTGTGAACAACCATAAAGTAAGTGTGGGGGGCAGGGAATGGTTTTGCTCATGAATAGCATGGTTAGAGAATAAATATAATGGCTGAGAGATTTAAAAAAAATTTTTTTTTTTCATTGAGAAAATTTTTCTGCAAATTTTGGTTCCTACATTTAAGCATTTACAAAAACTTGGCCCTTTCAGTCACCAGTCTGTAACTCAGATTTAATAGAATCAATTCAAAGTTTTCTTCTTTTTACAACTTCAGATCAAAGAAATGGGTGGGGGTGGTAGAAGAAAGGGTAAAAAAAACAAAGAGCTAGACAAGATGGGTGGGAACAAAAAATTCTTCTGAAATCTTGGCAATGACTAAATGGAACAAAAGTGAAGGGTTAAAAAATCTTTGCCTTTCCATAATTAAGCAAGATATTTTTTTTTTTTCTTTCATTTTTTTTTTTTTTATAAAATAATTCTAGAAGTTTCAGTTAGGTAGTAGAAATACTTACCTGATTATATAACAACAAAAAAAAAAAGGTATTATCACTGAAAATATGTAAATTTGTGCCACTGACTAAATTCTAGGTCCAAGTAATGTCTTCCAACTGGAGCAAGACTTTATACCACTTCAATTTCTATAATCAATATATACTGATGAAAATTTCCTTAAGGACTTTTAAAGACAATAGAAAAGCAAAGTCCACAAATGTAGAATCAACAAATATAAACTTAAATGTGTGTATCTTAATATTCGATGTCCATTGAATTTATCTGTCTTTTCCAAACTGCAAAAACTATGCCAAATCAAAGCTGTTTCCAACCTTTCAACTCATATGAGTCATCTTCAGGAGTGAAAAAGTAAAGTAAAGAAAATTTGGACAGAGTTTTCATTTCGGATGTTTTTTTTTTGCATCTACACCAGCCAGGTTTGGGGAAGGTGATATGCAGTTTGAAAAAAGACAATGGCTAAATCCAACAGATATAGAATGTTTATTCTTTTAAAACTTGTTTAGAAGAACAATTACTGTCTAATTATACTAAATTAAATTTAGTATAATTATATTTTAATTGCTGTATGGAGGTATACGTCACATCAAAACAAAGAATTAAAGTTGTTTCGAAAAAAAAAAATGAATTTTAAATTAGATTTTTTTTTTCTTTTTCAGAATTACAATCTTTATTTGCACTTAAGTTCCACAAGGTTTTGCCAGTCACTTTTCTTACCATCTTCAAGTGGCATATTTATTTGGCTTTCCTCTTTTATTCAAGACAGTATTGTCTTGACTGTTGCTTTGTTTGGAAATTCTGCCAATAACTCCAGAATATTTTTGTGCAATACAAAAAGGAATGAAAGAGAAAACTAGAAAGTGAGAAGAAAAAAAAATTTTTTTACCAGCATTAAAGAAACATTGTAAATTTTAATAGAATTTTCTATTTTTTGATCAACACCAAAATTTGCTGCTCTTTTTACAAAACAAAAATTGTCTACATGGCAGGACAACAGAAATTAAGAAGCAAAAGACAAGCACACAAGGTCATGGGAGGTCAAAAAGCGACAAGCACACAAGGTCATGGGAGGTCAAAAAAACAAAAACAAAAAAAACTGTAAAACTTTTTCTTTTTTAACTCTCTATTCTCTATTGTGTTGACAAATTTTTTTTAACATTTTTCACAAGAATATATTTAAATTTTTTATTTTTTCCAGGAACTTCTTTTTTTTCTTTTTAATTCTAGCTCATATCTGATTTCAGTCTAAAGGATTCATTACAATCTATTCAGTTTCAATAATGGGAATTTCAAAATGAAAATTAATCAGCAAATAATTTTTGAAAGAGAAAAGTCAGAAACCCCATGCAGAAATTAAGTAATTAATGTTTAACAAACCTAACAATTTTAGAACAGAAAACTTATAAGTCAGTTTTGAGGAAAAAAGGAAAAAAAAAAAAAAAAAAAAGAGAACCAAACTTATCATTAAAGGGTTTATATATGCAATATATTTATAATCCCATAAATTTACTGCTCAGATGTGTGATATATAAATAAAATCACATGCAGAGAAAGGCTAGTATCACAAATACATTTTCTGCATTGAAGACCAAATTTATAGAAATTAAAATTCATTGTTAAGTCAGAATTAAAAAAAGTACACACTCTGTTCATATGTAACCATGGCCGGACATTTGGCCAAACGGACATTTCACCGAAAAAGAACAAGTATAAATAGTAACAATTAATACTTTAAGTATTTTAATTAGTAGTATTATAAGGTATAATTACCAATGAATTTCAGGTGATTAAATTACTAAATCTAAAAGTTTTCATATTTCAATTTGTTTATTGAAATTAGTATTTTTAAAATTATTTGAGTGTATTTGGTTAAAAAGTAGCATCTTATTATTTAAATTCATATTTAACAGTAAGATAAAAGCTAGTTCATCCCTTTAAGATAATGATCATTAAATGTGAAATTGAAAGATCTTTCATATTGTAAAAGCTTAAGATTTTTGCTGTAGTAAAATGTGCTTTTTTACTCAAAATACTTATCGAGTTATATTTGAAATAAAATACAAAAAAGCCTGTAAAAGAAAAAAACATGAAAATTATAAATTTAATACAGTAAATAAATATGTAGATAAAGAAAGAGTATGACAGACACATGTAAGTACGCCACTACATTTTCGGTTAAATGTCTGTCAGCAAAATGTCCAAGTATCGTATGTAACATGTGATGCTAAAACAATATTCAAAAGTTCCACTGAAAGACTGAAAATTTCCTTTACAAACACAAAGATAAAAATTGTTTATGAAACACATGTTCCTATTTCTATCCAAATCATAAAACAGATTTTTTTTTTTTTTTTTTTGATTTCTAAGTTTATCAAAAGTCATAGAAATTACCAAAAGCCAATAGAAATTACAGTTCTTCTTATAGTCTACCTTCATATGAATAACACCTCTATTTTCTATTCTTCCCAAATCAAGCCCCAAAAGTTAAAGATTTATTCAAAGTTGGAGCTCTTCAAATTATTGTCACACTGAAAAAAAAAAAAAAAAAATTGTCCAATGGGAGGGAAATTTTATTCTAAAAAGTTTCTCCTTGTTGATAATTTTAAACATTCCTGCTGATCACAGAAAAATGGGAGTCAAGATAGTTGTCTCTGTATAAAGATTTTAAAGTGAATTTCAATAATGATGAACATTTTTTCATCAGCAAAGAATAAAAAAAAAAAAAAAATTCTGTAGATGCTAAATTAAATAAATATTTTAATGCGGAAAAAAAGAGGTAGGGTTGTATTTTTGCTCACAGTGAATTTAAAAAAAAAAAAAAATACATCATTCCAAAGTAAAACAATATTTGATGTTATCAGACTGAAGCAGCAGAATTAGCTAAAAGCAGCATAGCCGAACTTGATCAGTAGTTTTATATAAGAAAGCAATATGCAATTATAGACAAAAACAAAATAAAGCACTACTGCAGACACTATGAAATGCTTCTTTCCTTCCAACCTTAACAAAAACAACATTTAGTTTTTTCCACAACACTATGTTAAATATTTCTTGAAAGAAAACGTATATTTAGCGACAAGTTAATAAATTTTAAACTCTACTACATAAATGACATATGCAAGTCAATTTGGCAATTAAAAATGATTTTTTTGATTTGAAGATTTAACATGAAATACAAAAAACATTTATTTGAAGAAATTATCTTCCAACAAAAAGAATTGAGCAAAGCCATTGATGAATTAATAGACGTTAGGATCGAGCTTTTGTTAAATTGCATTTCTAAGAGTTTTCAATATAACCGCAATGTTTTAAAGTTCAAAGAAAAGATGCGAAAGAAAAAAAATGTCACAAATTAATAAATATCTCCACTTTGTTTTCAGACCAAAATCTCCAACTATTTTTCTAAAGTCAATAAGTTTACAATCATTTACATTTATTTTCATTTTACAAGCAAAATATTTCTGCAACCTTCACAACCATTGGGAAAATTTTATTTTTCTAGTACAAATGTGTTTGTTACAAATTCACTCTAAACACTAGACTGATGGAGGAAGAGAGAGAAATAAAAAGGAGAAATGGAAGGAAAACACATCTAAAAGTATAGAGGAAAGTAAAGAGTAAATCCCAGAATTTGGAATTAAAAAAAAAAAAGGTCTCAATTCTGAGAATCCTTAGACCATGTGCTGTTGATGATGAACATGTGGCGCTGACAAGAAAATTTGGTCAGCAAAACAAAGATCAACCAAAGCCAAAAGAAAGCAAAATTAAAAAAAAAAAAATTAAAAAAATGAATTAATTTTTTTTAAAAGGTGTTTATTTCATAATATATATCACATTTTTTTCTAAATTAGAATTTTGATGAAATAAATAAAAAAATCACTAAGCTCCCAAAATTTGTGATGAGATGACTGACTTTTTCTGATTATTTTGGCACATCAACTTATATATATATATATATATATATATATATAAAATAAAATAAAATAGTCATTCAAAGAATAAATTAAGTTAATGTAGATTAAGAAGGCATTAACTTACTGTACTGACCACTCACTGAACAACCTAATCCTTATTTTTATTAATTGTACAATGGATTAGGTGTTCGGTCTATATAGTTTTCAAGCACTTTCAATGCATACAAGGATCACATCATTCAGTGAGTTAATGTCTTATTTAATCTGTTAGCAAAGTGAGTTTGCCATTAATTACATGATTTATTCTTTGAATCACTATTTTATAATATTAATTAAGCCGCATTACTTCTTTATATATTATTCTTACTACTTTTAAAAGTTGGTAAATGATTTGGTCTTTAATTTTAAAATTTAAAAAAAAAAAAAAAAAATAAAAAAAAATCGCCTTTTAAAAATTGTTCACTCACAAAAAATAAATTTTAAAAAAGAAGCAACAAAAAGAAAACAACAAAAAACTAACTAAAAATAATAATTAAAATAAAC